GTAAAATTAAACTCGATATTGAGGAGGAACGGCTTTGCAAGGTTGCGTGGATCACCGTGGATCCTGAAAGTGTATACCTGACTGATATATACGAAAAACAAGTTACAAACTTTAACAGGCAGACTAAACTATTATCAGTTTTAATGGATGCATTTCGTGTTGTAATATACGTAACTTCTTGCAATAACTTTTGTATTGATTCTTGTCACTGTCTCATAGTCGTTCATGTGACAAACAATAGGTTTTCTATCAGCAACAATTGCCTTAAACTGAAGTGATGTGGTACTGTTCTTTACAGTTGTACAATAAGGTGACTACCAATTTTAGAGGTTTGATTGCATCTTCGGAAGTTTATCATACCCATACTACTTACAGATGTCTGAAATTGTTAATAGAATCACAACGTATTGATTATGTCATTTCCGAATTTGGAAACCTTTTCTTTTTTCAAAAATCAATTCAGTTAATCGCATTACGCCACTTCCCATGTCAATTCACTCTCGTAACAGTCATCAAAACGTCCAACATCAAGATTATTTGCACAAGTTGTATTGGCGTTCTCGCTCAACTCGACAGAATCGGTTTCACGTAAAGTTTTTATCAAACAAAGAAAGGTGACATTTTTTTTCAACGCATTTTATAGTTTGTCGAAAGTGCGAAATCTGCCCCCGATGTTATTGCAAATGCCCGGGTGCGTGACGCTAATGTTATTCATAAGATAGTTACCTGCTAATACTGACGTATTGAAATTGTCATCAACCGAAACCGGATATTTGAAAAATGGATGTAAATGAAGAACTCGTTTATAAAAGCATGGAACACAAAAACACACATATGTATACGTATAACAGGTTGAAATAATTGTCTCAGCACAAACGCCTACGTTAAAACCTATTAAAACCTCACATTAACCTTTTGCGCGGGTTGTGTCTGGTTGTCTCCAAAGATTCCTCGTATGTCTGCAATTGAGTAGAGTCGTTTCCCACCAGGTGTCTTGACAACAGGATTTTTTCCAGAGTCTGCCCATCTTCGCAATGTTCAGTTGAGACGTCATACGTCTCTTTGATTTTATTCTGCACTTTGGTAAGTAATCCTGCTTTGATCCAGAGTCGTTAAAAATGTGGACTTTGTTCAGGAATGTGAGGTTGCCGGCAGAACTGTGTTGCTTAAACCTATTTTCGTGTAAACGGTATAAATTGTGATTCTGATTATCGCAACATTTTATATTCACGTAATGTTATAGATAATAATTCTCGTTTGGCCACCAACGGAAATTTCAACAAAACTGAACTGCTTTTTAGCTTTACAGTCACATTTGATGCATGATTTCCGTGTTACATTCTCGTCCCTGTGGCGTAGTAACAATTAAAGACGTGAGATCATTGTAATCATCAAACCCCAAATTCGACATGTCTTCTTCCGTTGATCCTTCGCAGGCTAGCACCGAACCCGGTGCTGCTCCAGCCGCCGTTACAGAGGCTGTACTTGTTCGCTCTGTTTCTATGCCAGATACAGCGGTGACAGTGGAGGGTCCGGATTTTAACAAAGACTTGTCGTTACATGAGTTGCTGGAAAAATACACGAGAGTGGGTTTCCAGGCTACAAGCATCGGAAGGGCTATAAAAGTCATTAATGACATGGTGAGTTTTTTGGAGACTAGAATGATCTGACAACATACAGAGAACTGAATGCTAGTGTTTCGAGATTCCAGTCTTACATTAATTCCTCCGTTAACAGTGCACTCTCTATCCTTTGCTCTTTACCATTATCAATGTTTCTATCCTTCGAAAAAACAACTCCTGTTTAACATCTTTCTAATGGAAAGATAACCTGGCGTCTTGCCGATGATCCAATCCTACCAGACGAGTCACCTGAATATACTGACCCAGTCACTCGCGCAAACACAAAGTGTAAGATTTTCTTTGGTTACACCTCAAATCTCGTATCCTCTGGCCTGCGAGAGGTTATACGATTTCTGGTACAACACTCCATGGTCGACGTGTTGGTAGCTACAGCGGGTGGAGTCGAAGAGGATTTTATAAAGTGTCTGGGAAAGACGTATTTGAGTTCGTTTGAAGAAAAGGGAAGCGAATTGAGGAAGAAAGGCTTGAATAGAATTGGGAATTTGGTAGTGCCAAACGACAACTATTGCATGTTTGAGGATTGGATGATGCCTATTCTGGACAAGATGCTCGAAGAGCAAAAGGAGCAGGTGTGTTGGAATAGGAGAAATCAAGATAGGAATAGGAGGATGGCTGTTTTTGACTTGAGCTGAGCTGCAGGTTAATATTGACATTATAGGGAACAATATGGTCTCCTTCAAAAGTCATTCACCGCCTGGGAAAAGAGATTGACAATCCAGATTCAATATATTATTGGGCATATAAGGTATATGTCTTGACGGTTATATAGCAGCTTGAGTATTCTTTCTCTGCTTTTCCCGTGTATTTATTGATACCTTATTTCAGAACAATATACCCGTCTATTGCCCAGCCCTAACAGATGGCTCATTAGGTGACATGATATACTTCCATACGTTCAAAAATCCAGGTCTAGTCATTGATATTGTCGCGGATATAAGATCTCTGAATGACCATGCGTTCTCTGCGAAAAAGTCTGGGATGATTATTCTAGGAGGTGGAGTGATCAAGCATCAGATTTGTAACGCAAACTTAATGGTGTGTTTTTTTTTCTTCACAACTCAACTGAGCTATGTTATGGACTGTTATCAAAGCTAACGTCTAAGCATTGACTCACATACACTCCAATCTAGAGAAATGGGGCTGATTACGCAGTATATATCAACACTGGCCAAGAATTTGATGGAAGCGATTCCGGCGCACGACCTGACGAAGCTGTCAGTTGGGGGAAAATCAAAATGACTGCTGAACCAGTAAAGGTTAGACTGTTGTTTGAATGTAAATGTTTGTGTGGAATCTGTAGTTTTCTGACTCTTTTTTTCTTTGTCAGGTGTACGCAGACGCTACTATAGTGTTTCCGTTGATCGTTGCAGAGACGTTTGCTAAACACTTTCATGAGAAAAGCAAGGTCTAATGTGTTATGCATAACTTCGAGTATGCATAGGCAATTACTTTAGCAGAACGTCGTTGGACTGTTTATGACGTTCAACGACAAGATATCAGACAACTACACTGATCGAAAAAATATTTTCAGTTTACTATGACTGCCATAATAAACGATATCGTTTGGAATTATTTAATACGTTCGCTGTATTCTGCTCTACGATATTGTATTACTTTGATCATTGACATCAGTTTGGAACGGGTTGATGTTGTTGCATAATAGTAAATTATACGAAATTATAAACTCAAATTTGCATTGCCAACCAAGTAGCGGAAACTATGTAAAGTTTTTACTCTTTCATTCTTCTACACAATTTTTGACAAATAGTCGACTTTTGATCTTACTCATTATAGATTGATATTATTTACATATATAGTAGTATTGTTGCTAAACGCACATCTATTAATAGAACGAGAGACGAGCCATGTTCATACTGTACATCACATTACACACGCAACGCATATTAATATCCAAACCAATGTAAAATACAGGGCAATTCAACCTTAAAAAGGGCATGTCTAAAGCGGAGCTCTCGCAATTCCATTGGTCAAATTTGTATGGCAGCCAATAAAACTGCAAATGCGGGATCACGTCCTGCTCCGCTTTAACCTTTTCCCTTAAAAGTACAATCGCACCACCGTAATGGAAGTACCAAATTAAACTTCATTCATCAGGGCCGGGGAAGAATGTAAAAAAGATTAAAAAGAACGCCGTATTAAGGAAATTTGGTACGACACGGCTTTGTGTACACGAATTGTTACACGTGGTTAATCTCGGTACCAGGAAGGTAAAACGGTAGGGCTCGGCGTCATTCTCCAACCAAAAATACAAGACCACTTTTTAAATTGATAGAATTGATAGTGAATAACACTTTATATAATTGGTTCAGTTTATTAACGTATAACAATCATGCAATTATTTGATACACGTGCTAATGTTGTAATTATGTCGTATCGTTACTTTTTACTTTTCAATAGTGAAGTTATGGCTGAGTTGAAAGCAATTCGACCCCGTTGCTTCTTGTGCCCATACTCGATAGAAAAATATTCCGGGAATAAGTTGCGGATTTACTTCCAAGGTAAACGATATTGAGACTGGGTCACCGCCTACTTTCTTGTCTCCAACCCACAGCGTGCTATAATACGTTCCATTCCCTCGGAAAAGATCGACTTCTAAAATGTCGGAGATGCCTGAGTTTTTGGCATCGACAGTAACCGTTTGTTGGGAATTATTATCGAATTTTTCGCCTTCTCTTGGGTTAGTGATTACAAAATCTATTATGGATAAAAATTATCGTTTTAGATTAAACAGTTTAGTTGTCATATACGTTTTTTTTTTGTTAATAATACTCACCAGCGCAAGCTCTTTTTTGGTACGCAGGAACGGCCGTGACTGTTGTGATTATCATAAGAGCCATCAACAAGACAACGATAGCGCTTTTGTTGTTCATTTTTTAATATTTTTCTGGTGTTATGTAATTGGAGTAATTATGTGAATCAGCGAAGGAAGATGTCGAGCGGAACAGCAGTATATATATATACATTTGCGCTGTGTAGGCGCGTACCATGTTCTAGTACTAAAGCAGAATATAGTGCAAGTTGAACTTCTTTGAATATTTTAAATCTCCAATCAACTGTCGTTATACTATGAATGGAAACTCTAAATATTCCTGCCAATTGGGGAGGAGTTAACATAAAGAGTTTAGGTTGTTTTGTTATTTTTAGCGTTCTGACATCTTTGGTGCTTTTTTCCCCTTGCAGAAATAAAAAAACTATTCGAAGCCATGCATGTAATTATTACTGATTTGCTTAATACTAATGAAAGGCTTACAATCATTGTTAAAAATAGAACACATTTATTTTCAGTATGTGTCGTGTAATGCCTGTAACTCGATTATTTTATTCTTGCTGCCGGTTAACGAATGAATGTTCTGACAGGTTGATAATCGGTGGATTGAGAGATCGGAATAATGGGAGGCGAAGTAGAACCTGCGCTTGAGCTCGAACTCATGCTTGTCAGTGGTCCTGCAGTTGCACCACCACTTAAACTTCCTGACGAGATTTATCAGGAATATTCGGGACGAGTCATTACAAAGACATTGGTTCACACAGATCGTAATATTTTCAAAATCACGTTCCCACCTCCGAAAATATGCAGCTGATCAATTAGTAATGAAAACACTTTATTATGTACGTCACGTTACACGCATTAAACGCATGAATATCTAAAATGGTAATAGGAACTGGAATATTTAGTTTATTATAGTCAATAATTCCGACACTTTTACATACTAATCAAAATAGTCCACCTGTGTTACTTGCAATTGACGATGAAGGGCTACCATAAGTGCCGGGAAAAAATTGTCGGAATTATTGACCATAATCGTTACTACCCTTTACAATTAGCTTCAGAAATTGTTGTACGAGTGACAGGTTGTCGGAAAAAAGCCTTCGTACGATTTGTTAATTAAAAATAAGCACGCCCTATGCAATCGACTACTGAGTGGTAACAGTTGCGTTTAATTTTAGAACCAACACTTGTCACGAGTACTAATATTATCATGAATTGAAACATGGCCTGATTAAATCATTTTTGATTACATAGACTAATATCAAGACGTGCGTTCTGCCAACGATGGACTTTATAATTCGATAACTTGTTGAATCTTTACGTTGGAGTGACTGACATTGCTGTATGTCAGTTCTTGGAATATATGACCATTCCGAATGGGCATATGTCAGATGGAAATTTATGTCCATCCCGAATAAACATATGCCATCAACAGTACATTGCTGTTTATCGCTTAAACCAAATCCTCTACAAGGGTTGGTAGTAAATATTGATAAACCAGTCCAAGATATCCCTAAACATCGAAAAGCACAGATCAATTAAATTTCACACAATCTGTCCGTATTTTAGCCCAAATTTGGTCGCACCACCTTAAGCTTAAACTTAAATGATTAATATCATCCTCCGAATGAGAAAGTTTTACTCAATGTCAGATCAGGCGATATCGTAATGTCAATAAAATAACTTCATTGATTGTCTTTATGATTCAAATATGATATACATGTTCATTCGGAATAGACGTAAATTCCAATCTGACATATGTTCATTCGGAATGGACGTAAATTCCAATCTGACATACAACAACATTATGACGCAACATATTGTGCATATGAGTTTCCTCTTTTTGATACAACTCAATTGCTCTTTTCTTTGTCTTCTTCCACACCAGTTCCAAAAGGATAATAATAAATATAATCTTGGTGTGTGTTATGTCATGGAACTGGAGTAGAAAAAGATGAACAAAAGGCAGTTGTATGAGTTAGAGTTTTCTAATATCTTTCAGTTTAAAAACATAATAATAAGGGGCAATTTTTTCACGATGTTTTTTCTTTAAAATGCTCCTGCTAGTGCTGTAATTCTTTGGTTCACAGTCTATTTGATGCAAATGAGTTTTATATTCTTATACTAATTAATATAGAGATAATCTTATCACTGTTACTATATATATATTGATCTTGTTATGGTTTATATTCTGTTATGACAAAGTGAACATTAAAATTAAGATTAACAAGTCCATAATGAGCACCATTCTTTACTTTTCAAAACTGGTCAATTTCACAGCCCACATACTAATAATAATATAACAACAACAACAACAACAACAACAACAACAACAACAACAACAACAACAACAACAACAACAACAACAACAACAACA